GTCAATGACATGAGACAAAGTATATGTGAACTGCTGTATGAAAAGTGAATTTACTCTGTAAATCTTCACCCAAATCAAAATAAAATTAAAAATAATAATAACAGAGTGCTTGATGTAAGATGAGCCACTCAGGTTGGAAGGCACTCAGAAAACACTGGAGAAGAGCTGCCTCCTCAAAGTAGAGTCAACTTTAATGATGTGGATGGAGTAAAGTTTTCAGGATCTTCATTTGCTGATGGGGCATAACCCAAAAGGGGAAGAAACAGCTGTAAACATCCATGAATAATGTGAAGATGGGATGAAGTATGAATCTAGGAAAGTTGGAAGTTGTCAAAAATGAAATGGAACATAAAAAGATTGATAAGCTAGACGTTAGTGATCTGAAATGGACTGGTGTTGGCTATTTTGAATTGGACAATCATATGGTCTACTATGCTGGGAATGACAAACTGAAGAGGAATGGCATCACATTCATATCACAAATAATATTTTGAGATCTATTTTGAAGTGCAATACTGTCAATGATTGGAGAATACCCATGTGTCCACAAGGAAGAGAAGAAGGTTAGAGAGGTTTCAAACAGCTAAGGGAGACAAACTTTTCTGTCAGTTTGTCCTATTGTGGTGATGTGTTGCTGTGAGTCACATGATGGCTGTGCCATCAGTGTTTTGAACCCAGCGGGGTGCACATGGTGCACAGGTTTCAGTACAGGTTGCAGACTGAGACAGACTAGGAAGAAGGAAGAGGACATCCACATTTCAAAGAATTGGCCAGGGAAAATCTTATGATTAGCAGAGAAACACTGTCTGATACATTACTGTGTAACTTTATGAATAGTCCAGAAACATTGTCCAATACAGAGGAGGAGGAGGAGTCACTTAGATTAGAAGGCTCTCAAAATACGACTGGGAGAGAGCTGTCTCATCAGAGTAGAGCCAACCTTAATGATATGGATAAAGTAAGTCTTTCAGGACCTCGATGTACTGGCATGGCCTGACTCAACTTGAGGAGAAACAGCTGCAAACATCCATTAATAATCAGAACATGGAATGTACAAAGTATGAATCTAGAAAAATTGGAAGTTGTAAAAAATGAAATGGAATGCATAAAGATTGATATCCTCAGCATTAGTGAGCAGAAGTGGACTGGTTTATGCCATTTTGAATCAGACAACCATATGATCTACTATGCCGGGAATGAGAATTTGAAGAATGGTGTACAATTCATTATCTCAAAGGATGCTTCAAGATCTGTCCTCTGTCCTGAAGTACAATGCTCTCAGTGATAGGACAATATCCATATGAATACAAGGAAGACCAGTTAATATGACTATTATTCAAATATATGCACCAACCACGAAAGCCAAAGATGAGGAAACTGGAGATTTTTATTAACTTCTGCAGTCTGAAATTGACCGAACTTACAATCAGGATGTGTTAATTATCACTGATGACTGGAATGCAAAAGTTGGAAACAAAGAACCACTGGTAGTTGGAAAATTTGGCCTTGGTGACAGAAATAAGGCTGGAAAACGCATGGTAGAATTTTGCAAGATCAATGACTTAGTCATTGCAAATACCTCTTTTCAACAACACAAATGGTGTCTGTACACATGGAATTCACCTGATAGAACAGGCAGGAATCAGATTGACTACATCTGTGGCAAGAGGTGATGGAAAAGCTCAATATCTTCAGCCCAAACCAGGCCAGGAGCTGATTGTGGAACAGACCATCTGCTTATATGTAAGTTCAATTTGAAGTTAAAGACAATTAAAACAAGTCCACAAGAGCCAAAATATTATCTTCAATATATATCTCCTGTATTTAGTGACCATCTAAAGAATGGATTTGATGCATTGAACAACAACGACTGAAAACTAGATGAATTGTGGGATGACATCAAGAACATCATCCATGAAGAAAGCAAGAGAACTAAAAAGACAAGAAAAGAAGACCAAAATGGATGGCAGAAGAGACTCTGAAACTTGCCCTTGAGTGAAGACTTTGTTGTTGTTGTTGTTATGTGCCGTCGAGTCAGCCCTGACTCATAGAGACCCCTCCTTGGGTTTCCGAGGCAGTATCACTACGGAAGTAGGATTGCCCAACCTTCCTTCCGAGGAGTGGCTGGTGGGTTTGAACTGCCAGCCTTCTGGTGAGCAGGCAAGTGTCTTAGCCACTATGCTACCAGAGCTCCCTGAGTGAAGACTAGCTAAAGAAAATGGAAGAAATGACAAGATAAAAGAGCTGAACAGAAGATTTCAAAGAGCAGCTAGAGCAGACAAACCCAATTACTATAATGAAATGTGCAAAGACCTGGAGTTAGAAAACCAAATGGGAAGAACACACTTGGCATTTCTCAAGCTGAAAGAACTGAGGTAAAAATTTAAACCTCGAGTTGCAATACTGAAAGATTCTATGGGCAAAATTTGCTGGGTGGATGGCGCTACAGTAGAACTTTGTGTAGGTTCAGAAGCCATACTCTTCCTTTGTTCTGTGGATTTTTCTATCGCTTCACTAAGAGATTTTGCATATTGTACCATGGCCCTCAACTGGGAATCCGTTAAAACCCATAGTAAGTCATCCAAAAACAGAACTAACTTTGTGGCTACGACATTGCAGTCCTTCAATCTTCTTTTCAACGTGACTCTGATTTTTGATTGATTGGTTATTAATCGAACAGGAGCACACAGAATTTCAAGGTGTGAACTTTGGGTAGTGTCGGCCTCTATTCGAATCATCTGCCAATTTATTTCTTTAAATGTCAAAACCTCTCCTCTCTGTGGATCTTGAATACGAGTAAATTTTAAATCTCCGTGTTCCCAGTTTGCATTTACACTATATATCCGTAGCTGGGAAAGCTGAAAAGATGCATTAAAGGCTTTTGCTCCAATTCGGTAACAACGGAATTTACAGAAACAGTAATACCCTCAACTACTTTTTCAGCAAAGCCATATTCACTTTGTCCTGAAGCAGTTGCAATCCGTGATGGGCCATTAGGTGCTCGAGGTTCTTCACATGTACGCATTTCAATTATTACTTTATCCAGGGACAAACAGGTGGGGTGCGTTTGCAGTTTTGTCCACGGGATCCTAATGGATACTTTGTTACAAAAAACTTTGTTGATAGCAAACCACGTTGGCAAATCCAACATATTCTGGAGCACCTCTTCATCCAACTCCAAATGTTTTAGTTCACTTTCTCCTTTTAGGGTACTCGGATTTATCTCGTCAGGAGATAAATTTTTGGTAAATCTGGAAAGGTGCTTCAGGATCTGTTTTTTGATGAGCCCAGCCATGGTGCCGGGGCGGGAGTCGTCGCGCGCTCTCGCTGCAGCTTACTGCCTTCTCTCTTCGTGGCCGTCTCCTCTTTGTCCGGGTTTACCAGGCCAGAGGAGAGGCGCCTGAGCGCTGACGCCCAGGACAGACTCGAGGCTCCGGCCAAGGCCACAGCCGCTGCTGCCGCAGCTGCCGCTGAAGATCCGGAGCATCGCGCTCAAGCCACCGCCGCCGCCGGCGCCATCTTGGCTGCGTTTTATTGACTATGCAAAAGCATTTGATTGTGTGGATCACAACAAATTGTGGATAACATTGAGAAGAATGAAAATGCCAAAACACTTAATTGTGCTCATGAGGAACCTGTACCTGTACATAGACCAGGAAGCAATCACTCAGACAGAACAAGGGGATACTGCATGATTTAAAATAAGGAAGGGTGTACGACAGTTGTATCCTTTCACCATATTCATTCAATCTGTATGCTGAGCAAATAATCCAACAAACTGGACTATATGAAGAGGAACACAGCGTCAGGATTGGAGGAAGACTCATTAAAAACCTGTGATATCCAGATGACACAACCTTGCTTGTTGAAAGTGAAGATGACTTGAAGCACTTACTGATGAAGATTAGAGACTATAGTCTGCAGTATAGATCACACCCCAATAAAAAGAAAATGAAAATCCTCTCAAGTGGACCAATAAGCAGAATCATGATTAATGGAGGAAAGATTGAAGTTGTCAAAGATTTCATATTTCTCGCTTTCACAATCAACACCAATGAAAGCAGCAGTCAAGAAACCAGGTATCGTATTACCCTGGGAAAATCTGCTGCAAAAGACTTCTTTAAAGTGCTGAAGAGCAAAAATGTCATTTTGAAGGTGCGCCTAACTTAAGCCAAGGCATTTTCAATCATCTCCTATGCATATGAAAGCTGGACAATGAATAAGGAAGGCTTAAGAAGAGTTGATGCTTTTGAGTTGTGGTGTTGGTGAAGAATACTGAAAATACCATGGACTTCCAGAAGAACTAACAAATCTTTCCTGGAAGAAGTGCAGCTGGAATGCTCCTTGGAAATAAGAATGGCCAGACTTTGTCTCACCTGCCTTGGTTATGTTGTTGTTTGTTATTGTTGTGTGCCATCAAGTCGGACCCGACTCATAGCGACCCCTCCTTGTTTTCTAGGCAGTATAACTACGGCTGTAGATTGCCCAACCTTCCTTCCGAGGAGTGGCTGGTGGGTTTGAACCTCCAGCCTTGTGGTTAGCAGTCAAGTGCCTTATGCACTATGCTATCAGAGTTCCCAGACTATTCCCTGGGGAAGGATATTATTCTTGGTAAAGAGGTGGGTCAGTGAAAAAGGGGAAGACTCTCAATGAGATGGACTGACACACTGGCTTCAATGATGTGCCCAGGTATAGCAAGATTGTGAGGTTGGTACCAAACTGGGCAGTGTTTCACCTGTTGTACACAGTGTTGTCATGAGTCAGAGCTGACTCAACGACATCTAACAGCAACATACATGTGGACCTCACTAGATGGAATACACAGGAATCAAATTGTCTACACCAGTGGAAAGAGGTGATGGAGAAGCTCAGTATCATTAGTCAGAATGCGCTCAGAGATAACTGAGGAACAGACCATTAATTGCTCATATGCTAGTTCAAGTTGAAGCTGAAGAAATTTTTTAAAAAAAGTTTGGTGAGATTCAAAATATGATCTTGAGTATATCCTACCTAAATGTAGAGACCTTCTAAGGAACAGATTTGACACATTGAAAAGTAATGACAGAAGACCAGACCAGTTGTGGGATGACATCAAAAACATCATACATGAAGAAAGCAAAAGGTCATTAAAAAGACAGAAAGAAGAAAAGACCAAAATTGATGTCAGAAGAGCCTATGCAACTTGTTTATGATTGGAGAGTAGCTACAACTAATGGAAGAAATAATGAAGTAAAAGCAGTGTCAGAAGATTTCAAAGGGCAGCTAGTGAAGACAAAGTGAAGTATTATAATGAAATATTTAAAGACCTGAAGTTAGAAAATCCAAAGGGAAGGACATACTAAGTATTTCTCAAGCTGAAAGAACTGAAGAAAAAATTCCAGCCTTGAGTTGCAATATTGAAGGATTCTATGGGCAAAATATTGAATGATTCAGGCAGCATCAAAAGAAGATGGAAAGAATACAGAAGCACTGTACAAAAAAGAATTGGCCAAGGTTCAACCATTTCAGAAGGTAGTATATGATCAAGAATCACTGGTATTGAAGGAAGAAGTAAATTCTGAACTGAAGGAAGTAGAGAAAAACAAGGCTCCAGGAATTGATAGACTATCCACTAAGATGTTTCAACAAATTGATGCAGTGCTAGAGGGGCTCACTCATTTATGACAAGAAGTCTGGAAGACAATCCCCTGGCCAACCAACTAGCAGAGATCCATATGTTGCCCCTTCCAAAGAAAGCTGATCCAACACAATGCAGAAATTATCAAATAATAGAATCAATATCACAAACAAAGTAAAATTTTGCTGAAAATAATTCAACAATGATCTCAGCAGTATATTGGCAGGAAACTGCCATAAATTCAAGCTGGATTCAGAAGAGGACATGGAACAAGGGATATCATTGCTGATGTCAGATGTATCTTGGCTGAAAGCAACAGATATCACAAAGATATTTACCTGTGTTTTATTGATTATGCAAAGGCGTTCAACCTGTGGATGATAACAAATTATGGGTAACATTGCAAAGATTGGGAATTCCAAAACAGTTAATTGTGCTCATGAGGAATATATATAGACCAAGAGGTAGTTGCTTGAACAGAAAAAGGGGATACTGCATGGTGTAATATCAGGAAAGTTTTGCATCAAGGTTGTTTATTTTCACCATACTTATTTAATCTGTATGATGAGCAGATAATACCAGAAGCTGGAGTATGTGAAGAAGAACATGGCATCAGGACTGGAGGAAGATTAATTAACAACTTGTGATACACATATGACACAACCTTGCTTGCTGAAAGTGGAGATGATGTACAGCACTTACAGGTGAAGATCAAAGCCTTCTGTACAAATTACATGCCAACATAAAGAAAACAAAAATCCTCAAAATTTGACCAATGAGCAACATCATGATAAATGGAGAAAAAAGATTGAAGTTGTCAAAGATTTCATTTTCCCTGGTCCATAATCAACAACCATGGAAGCACTCATTAATAATCAAAGGATGCAGTGCATTGGGCAAATCTGCTGCCAAACAAACAAAAAAACCTGTTTAAAGTGCTGATGTCTCTGAAGACTAAGGTGCTGCCTGGTCAAAGCTATTGTCTTTTCAATTGCCTCGTATGCATATGAAAGCTGAACAATGAACAAGGAAGACCTCAGAAGAAAGGATGCATTCGAATTATGGTGTTGGTGAAGAATATTGAATATACCATGGACTGCCAGAAGAACAGGAATCCTGGTGGTGCAGTGGCTAAAGTGCTTGGCTAATAACCAAAACATTAGTAGTTAGAACTTACCAGCTGCTTCTTAGGAGAAAGATGTAGTAGTCTGCTTCTGAAAGTTTTACAGCTTGCAAACCTTATGGGGCTGTTCTACTCTGTCCTACAGGGTTGCTGAGTAAGAATTGACTAGATGGCAGTGGGGTTGGTTTTCGTTTGCACCGGAAGAATGAACAAATATGTCTTGGAAGAAGTACAGCTAGAATACTCCTTAGAAGTGAGAATGGCCAGACTTCATTTCTTATATTTTGGTCATACTGTCAGCAGGACCAGTCCCTGGAGATGGATATCATGCTTGGAAAAGTAGAAGGTCAGCAAAAACAAAGAAGACCCTCAGTGAGATGGATTGACACAGTGCCTGTAACAACGGGCTCAACCACAGCAATGATGGTGAGGATGCTGTAGGATCAGCAGTGTTTAGTTCTATTGTACATGGGGTTGCTATGAGTCAAAACTGACTCAGCAACACCTAACAACAACAACATTCTATAGAGTATCTTTAAATTCTATTAAAGTTTGTAACCTACACAGAAACTAAAAAAACAATCTCACCGTTATCAAGTTAATTCTGACTCATAGTGACCCCCTTTGGGTTTCTGAGGCTGTAAATCTTTACAGAAGTAGATTGCCCCATCTTCCTTCTGCTGAGCAGCTGGCAGGTTTGACTATGCCACCAGAGCTCCTTTAACCTTTAACCAAACCTACATAGAGGCCTTAAAAATAATTACCTCAACAACTAACTCTGTAATTTATTAAGAGGACATAAAAGGTAGTTGATACCATCACCTAAAGAAAGAAATCGACTCAGGCCAAAAACGGCACCTACATAAGCTTTGCCCTCAACCTGTACACACACACACTAATGTGAAAAATATCTCTATAATTTCTCTAATGGGTAAAATATCCTGACTATGAATAAAATCCTTGAGTTAGAGATTTCTTTTCCCCTCAAAGCTCTAATGGCATCATTCCATGATGTTCAGGTATGCACCAATGTGGTTTATGTTAAAAGTTCTATTGGCATTCACTAATCCATGCCATAGCATTTATACGACCCTTTGATAGGCCATGTTTCAGGTTCAAGGTCTCTGGGTGGTGCAAGTGGTTTATGCTCAACTACTAACCTACAGGTGGGCGGTTCAAATCCACCCAGCAATACCTTTGAAGAAAAGGCCTAATAATCTGCTTCAGTTAGATTATGGTCAAGAAAACCCTATAGTGCAGTTCCACTGTTACACATGGAGTCACCATGAGTCAGAATCAACTCAAAGGCAACTGGTTTGGTAATAGGTTTGGCTTAAGGTTCTGGGTGTGTGAAATTGAAAAACAATATGTGTATCCAAAGAGACTAGATTCTACTGGTACATCTCAGCCCAATGGAGCTGAGAGCAGAAGAAACAGTAAGGGATGCCAATCTAAATTTTAGGAAAGAAATCTGATTTGAGTTAAAGAGTACGCTTTGGTGTAATTGGTTCATAAAGAATGGAATCAGGAATTGGCCTGACATGGTTATTTGTGA